GCCGAGAGCACATCTGGCCCTTTACCAAGACCAAATATTTATTCCAAGAAATGATAAATTTGTTGGTTAGAGGCGAAAAACATACGGATTTCTATCATGACAGTTGTGTGATAAATTCAGCATGCTTGCATCATTGTTTACTAGAATTCAAGGCTAGAAAATTGCGTAGATTTTTGCTGAAAATTCTTAAATTGAACGATTTTAGGGAAAACTCTGCTCTTCAACAATACTTATAAGATTTATCAATACTTAAAGAGCTATTTACCATTCCAAAGAAGAGTTCCAACGTCTTGAAGCCTCGCTTTAGGTCAGCAAGTTCAGCTTTCTTTTTCGAGCCATAATTTGTTTCGCGTTCGGAAATAACGTATGGGAACTCCAAAGCTAAATTCGTCGCTTGAAAGAGCTACAAGTCTACTCTTTCCCGAGTCGAGTATTATTAAGGATAGTTCCTTTTCATTTTTAGCTCCACAAGGTCTATCTCAATCGGGATGGAACGAACAAACAATCGTGAAAGTTTTGAAACCTTGCGACTAAACTCGACAGAAACTTTAAATTGAATTGAAATTGCACACGTCACGGTATGTTTGCACGGTGATTCCTCAGTATTGTACTGTGCATTGTGTACTACACATAAAAATAACTTAATCAGGCGAAGAAGTGCTGGCATTCCGCGAACATAATATTGTTTTTTTAATCGATGAACGTGGTAAACAGGCACGATGGTCTTCTGCTCTTGAACGGGTAGAGTGATCTATACTTTTTATTTCATTATTTTGGTGGATGAATTATCCCCTTCTAAATTGGAGTAATTGTTAAAATTGCAATTTTCGGGATTGTGATAGGGTTAAAAAAACTCCTATTTTCAATAATTCACTTGCCAAGTTGTTATCAGACAGTTTGTTATTGGAGAGTTTTTTTTTATCGGACAGGTTAATAAGCCAATCACATTCAAAGTTGTAGTTTATGTCGACCAATCACATTCAAAGTTGTAGGTTACATTAAAATAAACAATTAACGCCTTCTTCTTCAGTCTTTTAATCTCCCTCTCTTTCATAACTTGTCTATTCTACTCTTCTTGGTAAATTGTAAATAGATGATACAATAGAGCTGAAAGCGTGCAGGAAGCTTGTTACTCGAGGATGCAAGTTAAGACCTTCAAACTAACGACTGGAGGAATGTTTTCAGCCGATTTCGTTTAAAATTGCGTAATTTTCCATAAATGATGCATCAAGTTGTTTCAAACATTTGAGACTTTCCACCAATCAAGTATTTTTTTCAAGTTTACAAGCTTCCAGCTATCGCAAAATGTACCGTGAATCGATGAGATGACGACCGTAATACACTGTAGAACCTCGATTTAACGAAGTACCAAGGGACTGGAGAAATTGGTTCGTTATACCGAGGACTTCATTATATAAAGGTTCGTTAGATCGAGGTCCTCTGCAGGTATTAAAACAGGCGTAAATGGGGTAAGACTGGCTCATCACATCTCTTAGGCAAGCACGGTGACCTATCTTTTCATTGTATTTTTCC